ACTCTTTCCTCTCTAAAGAGTCTTGTAGCCTGAAAGGATGCCATTTGTCCCCATTTGGGCCTATAAATCTCCACAACTGATCTGACCCTGGCAGATTACTGGATAATCTCTCCCTGTCTTGTAAAAGTAGGGGCCAGGCAGATCAGTGCGTTATGGTTCACGGCTGAATACTGACTGAGTTTGTGCATTGATCTGGACTCCAGCTTCTCTTGGCTGCTCACTTTGGGGCAATCAGAGGCCCATGTAGTTCCCAAGAAAGGAATGGAGGGAGGGTCCAGGGCTCTGCTTTGGATCTTTGTGTGATCTAGCCCTCCCCTTGGACCAGCCCATCAGGGGTTGACTAGTTAGCTCTCTTCTTCCCAAGACAGGCACTTGACCCAGATCTTGGCCTTGGACCGTGAGGGTCAAGTGTTCTTTCCTTTACAAAAACTGCCCTGGCATGGGAAGGGAATGGAGTTTCACACGTCAGATTCTGTATCACCACTGACTTGCATCATAGCTTCAGAAATTTTCTTCATCCCTGATGATCTTTAAGTTGACATCCCACCTTCCCAACTGTTAAATATCTCTTTGAAAAGTACATAGAAGAACTTAAAGTCACTCTTCTCATTGGAGTGAATCCTTTCTGATGTGTATAACTGCCAACCGTGCAAGAAGAATTCTCTTGGGTGTTTTGGTAAATTTACATTGTTTATGGAGTTTTCTCAAAGTGAGGTCCACCTGCATTTGGCGGTGTCAGCCCTTTCACCTGACTGTCATTTTTTCCTAAATACACCTGTAAAGAGCCTGGGCAAGAACTAATATGCTAACGGTGGACATTTGAGGACAACTTTTCATTCTGCCAGTGAGCGATTCCTTTGGCACAGCAGCTAGAGAGGATGAGGAGACCAAGGGAAATGGAAAGGACATGCCCTTCTAGTGACTGGTTCGGCAGCTCTGTCTGGCAGTCAGTGCCCAGGTCCAAGGCTGGGAGGAGTAATGTACCAATTCCAGAGGCTGCTCATGGAGAGGGGAGCCAGCCTCAGAGACTGGGACAGGAAGCTAAGTCTTTGTCAACCTCGGGCAATTGGGAGGCCACCAAAGCCATGGTTCTTACAGAGTCAGCCTAAATCCACTCAGAGATCAGGCTTGAAGGAGCCTGGATCCCCAAGGCCCCTGGTCATGAGCCAAGAAATTCCTAGCTTTGTTAATGGTGGGAAAAGAGCCAGAGAGAAATCAGCTTTGCTTATGAGGTGAGGGAGAGAAGGGAAAGGGGGAATTTGGAGGATAGAAAGAGGCCCAGGGGGGCTTCCCTGGTGGCGCAGTGGTTGAGAACCTGTGCCAATGCAGAGGTGAGGGAGAGAAGGGAAAGGGGGAATTTGGAGGATAGAAAGAGGCCCAGGGGGGCTTCCCTGGTGGCGCAGTGGTTGAGAACCTGCCTGCCAATGCAGGGGACATGGGTTCGAGCCCTGGTCTGGGAAGATCCCACATGCCGCGGAGCAACTAGGCCCGTGAGCCACAACTACTGAGCCTGCGCGTCTGGAGCTTGTGCTCCGCAACGAGAGGCCACGACAGTGAGAGGCCCGCGCACCGCGATGAAGAATGGCCTCCACTCGCCACAACTAGAGAAAGTCCTCGCACAGAAACAAAGACCCAACACAGCCAAAAATAAATAAATTAATTAATTAAAAAAAAAAAAAAAGAAAGAAAGAGGCCCAGGGAAGCGGGGGAGAGAGAGATTTTGGAGAAATTGTCCTTGTGCTTCCTGTGGTGTCATCTCCACCCTGTCCTCCTCCCCTTTCCATGCATCTGCCCCGAGCTGGACATGATTACTCAGAGGACCCTGAGACAGGCTGCTAGTGTAAGCCA